TCGCATAAACACAATATATTAACTTTATGTAGTTTTCTTCTGTAAAGTATATAAACCAATTTACATAATATTACATTTTAACTTCGTAATTCCACAAAGGAGTACAATCCCGACTAAGGACAAATACGTTAAAGTACATAATTTAGGCATATTCATCAAATCCAGGTGGATTTCGTTAATAACTAAAAGATACATATTTGTGTAATATATTTATAACAGGAGATTATTAAAATAAACAGTTGTATAAAGAAAAATATTTAAACAATGTCCACACAAAATTTTTGGACACGGAACGAAATAAGGAGTAGTGTCCGGTCATACTAAAATTACAGATATTCATAAGCTATCTATTAAGTCCCAAAAAGAAAGCGACTATAATATTATTTAAGAATTCAGTTATATAAATTATTATTTGCTGCTAGGCCCTTAACCCAGAGGTCCGTGGATGAATCCACGCTCTGCTAGAATACTTTTTGTTTAAGAAAGATTAGTCTAAATGTGACCTAACAGGACGCTTGCTTCCATGTTTATTTAAGGGATCATCTATATAGCAGAGTGGCGCAGTGGAAGCGTGCTGGGCCCATAACCCAGAGGTCCGTGGATCGAAACCACGCTCTGCTAGAATATTTTTTGTTTAAGAAAGGGTGGCCTACATGTGTCAATATACGACGCTTGCTTCCTACTTTATTTAAGGGATCATCTATATAGCAGAGTGGCGCAGTGGAAGCGTGCTGGGCCCATAACCCAGAGGTTCGTGGATCGAAACCACGCTCTGCTAGAATACTTTTTGTTGTTTAAAATTTATAGCCTTATTGGTTGTGTCAGCTAATTTTTCTGTTTTTTGTTCCTTAGGAGTGAAGGCTAAAAATATTACGAATCATCGATTATAATACAAAACATTTAATTTACAAAGTAATCAAATAATTTAATTTTATAACAAAATTGCGTCATCGCTATTTATATCATATAATATTTCACCCACAAACACAGTAACATGATGAAAGTAATTTATTTTATTGATCATAAATCCTCTGTATTCCATTTAATAATTCAATCATATTTATATAAAAGAATATTTATACATACTCGTACATGTATTAGAGTCCTCTGAATGCACACTCGTGGCCCTTCTATAACCCATGAAATAAAAAATTATTGTCAAATTAACTAGTGATATATTTTCAGAAGGGATATGTCTAAATTTGGTAAAATAAATGTCATTCAAATAAAAGTGTTAAAATTTGGATGTATTCGTCAATTTAGTGAGTCATTATGGAAATAAATAAATAGAGGAACAAACATAACACTGAGCGAAGAGAATTGTTTCAAAGCATAGCAGATGTTGTTTGATAAGATGATTTGGAGTCTGTAGTCAAAGAACGCTTTGTATAAACAGAGACAAAGTGGGACAGTGTTATAATTAGGAAAGCTTAACATTCACGTTTAATATTATTCATTTATAATATTAGTACACTCTAAACTTGAGCAACTGTTATTAATAAATATATAAATAAACAAGTCTAGCGTACATCACAAAATCTAGATATTAAATTCCCGTAGTAACGAAATGACACCGCAGGGTTTATAAAAGTTAATATTCTTCTTTGTATTATAACAAGTTAATTATATTTTACAAATAAGATAATAAAATATGAGTCATTGACTATAGACTATTATATTTATTATATTTCTAGGATAACTATTATTTTTCAATAGATTTGAGTACTGTTAATATAAGTAACATATAATATTCTATCTTATTGCATTGCATTTATAAGATAGAATATTATATGTTACTAGATAGAATATTATATGTTACTGACGATAATGTTAGAAATTAATGTCTTTTATACCTGATTATTATTTTTCATTAAATAATATGACTCTAAATTTTGTTCTAAAATTATAGATGGTTATGACCAAAGAGTCTGATATTTACAATAGTTACGAGACCAACAAAAACAGCTATTGAGAGTTAATTGATTGTATTAGTGTGAATGTTACAGACTCATTGTTCGTACATTCAGCGAGCTCGTTGTATGAATGAATCCTGTTATTATGAACACATACTTGTTTATAAAGAATCAGAATTTAGTTTAACTATTAACAACAACAATGGAGAGAGCCAAAAAAGTTTCACAATTATTTGCACTACGTTGAATTTCGCTTATAACTTTGTATGTGATTTCAAACGGTTAATACCTTTCGTACTTATAGTAAACTGATGAAAGCATCTCTCTGTATAAGGAGTGGTTTAAGTTTGTATCAATAATTTGTTGTTGGTAGTGTTCATTCCTAGTTTTGACACTTATCTATCCCATCGCTACAGTCGTATAATTAAAAATGATAATTAATTGATTTGTTTTATCAGATATTTTGAAGTGTTATATAATTTTGAAGTATTCGCGTTTTTTTTTTTGGAGCGTTAAAAGGGTCCAGTATCAAAACTGTTAGCGTAAAAGTTTTCGTGTTGTTCACATCAGATCCAATGTTCATACTTCTTACAAGCGCGGGGTTTTAATTTTAAATAACAAATATAAAGTAATCTTTATACCTCTGTCTGGAATTCAATGAGATAAAACAATTCTTTATTTAAATGAATTCGTTCTTCTAATTTGTTTAATCTCCAAAGACGCCGTCAGCATCACTCCGACGGATTAATTAAATAGAAACAGAAAACATTTTATTTTCCTTGTATCGAATAGAAACGAAATTGTGAAATTTTATTAATCCTCACCAAACACAAAAGGTGATCAATTTATTAACGTTTATAATAAAACGATGTTATGGTTTATGCTAGTAAGTATTAAAAATAATTTCAGAAAACTATATCTGGAAATAATATCTTTATCATCTAACCCATCACTAATTCCCATCACTAATAATTTAAATAATATCTTTATCATCTAACCCATCACTAGTTCCTGTAACAGATGTATGTACTTTATACATTTTTCTTTCCGGCTCAATTCCGAAGTCTACACAGAGAAATTGGTGGGCAAAATGGTTAATACAAAATAATGTATTTTTTGTTGTACATATTTTTAAACTAAAATGTAATGTCGTAAAACACAGACACAAACATATAGTCTGATAACTATAATTGTATCGATCAATTGCAATTCTCATGAGACGAACCCTAGCAGGATAATTTAATTAAATATTAAAATTATCTGTCACGTGTTTTATGTTAATATAATCAGATGTTATAACTAATTACCTATTCTAGGGGTAGAATAACTTCTATTTAATCAGTTTTCTAGGTTTTAAATTATAAAATCTATCAAAATCAAGACTTAAGGGAGTAAAAGTTACTCTTGCGATTACGCTTATGCTTGCACCTCGTTCACAAAAATGTAGATATCTTGATATCAATACTAAATGTTCCTAATTTTAAGAATATGTATTCGATTCTTTCATTGAAATCAAATATTTTTTAACAACTTCTGAATATAATAATTTAACTAATGGCATTATATAAAGGTAGTTTATTCTGTACAAAATTTACTTTCTACATCACATTTATAAGCTTATTAAACAGACTTCGTTGAGGTTGTATTAAAACTTGCAACTATTTGCATTCAAATTGTTGGCTTCATCCGACTTTGAACGTTTACAAAATGGGTTAACTCACAGTTAAAGATCGACATCGTGTTGAAAACACATTACAAATCCTTTAAAAAATATTCATAATATACATCGGTCAGCTATGTTTTCTATTTCGAATTTAAATATATAAGAAATTATATGTTTTTACAATATTTTCCTTACGAATAAAGTTAACCAAAAATTTTCTCTTTCATAGTACAAACCTTCATAAGGTTGTAATGGTTAGTTTTCTATCTCTAAACTCGGACTATTGAGAAACCCATGTGAATATTTTGTAAAGTGAACATTGTGATGACCACTATCGTGTGAGTACAAACAACATGCATTGTATTGTAAGATATTTTATAAATCAACTAAACTTAATGTACCAGTTCGTCTTTAACGAGCTATAATAATAGGTAAAACAAAAATATTACAACCATTCTATAACTCCTTGGACAAGCCAAGAACACTTCGCAGTTTTTTCGAATTTTTCCTCACCCTGCGTAAAGAAGTATATCTTTATAAAAAATTACAAGTCGTGACTATCTAGTAGAAACATAACACATTTGTATGAAACTTGTTCCTATATAGCTACACTGATTTGGAAGATGAAACTTACCTCAAGGATTTCATCTTGCTCTTAAAAACTTTATGTAAGTAGGTAAGGGTTTTGAAAACGTTTTATTCTTTATCTAATTTCAACATAAATAATAGGAAGAGACATCAAATCTCTAAATTAGGTTCTTTTCTCTAAAATTGGTGTTACGATATTACTATTACGATATTAATTAAGCTTAAATGTCTTAATAAAAATATAATATTGTGGTGAGTTTTATATCAATAAAAGTGCTCCTATATCGCTAGTAAGCGTTAAAGTAGCATTTTGTACTTCATGTTTTCTTCAGTGACATTCTGTTATTAAAATGCTTTTGTGTCATGTAATATAATGCATATTATATCCAATTTCACTTCTACTAGCATTTTCAAGCTACATTTGATTTTATCGCCTCTTTTGTTCACTTTAGAATGGCCTTTCGTCCAGACTACAGATATTAGTCTGTAACAATTTATTATTTACGAGTTATTAACGAAAATTAGGATAGCTGTCAAAGGAAAATAAATAAACTAAGTTTAAAGTAGATTAAAGCGTTACCCAATTTATTGTAAGAATAATTAGGATATTTTTTTCTGTCCCAAAGAGACAAACAAGCAGATAACTAACCTGATGGGAAGAGCTCATCGTCGTTTGTGGACATTTGCAACATAAGGGGTGTTGAAATTGCGATGTCAATTACGGTGAACTATAAAAAAAATTGTCATTTTAACATTAATGGTTGAGAATTGAACAATTCATATTAATACTAAGTAAGGGTTTCAAGAGGTTTCATTCTGGCTATCATTTCTTAAACTTAAGAATAAATTGCAGGTTGGTAATAAAGTATAAATATGGGTGTCATCTCCATAGAAGGAGACTGAGCATACTCTGATGATGCTTTATAATCGATGAGTCTGATGATGATCATAAAGAACTTAAGACCCAATGGAGTCTTTGATCGGGTTATATCAGATATAGTTCTGATAAAGTCTGAAACGATTTGAGTTACAAAACTTGAACAAAATTAAAACAAGTATAGTTTCCCCCTTTGCCGTTAGTAACCCTAACCGTTATATACACAGTGTAATATTTTAAATGTATCAACTATAAACAGCCTCGTAGATTATCATCGAATGACTTTACAATAAAATGTAATGTAATCATAGGTTGAGCTCTAGAGTAGTGTAAAGTTATCATCTGTAATCCTAAGATATATTTTTTTAGCTCGTTAAAATGTTGAGCTCAGGATCTTTAATATGATAAAATATTATCTTGAAGAAGGAAATTTAGCAAACATTACTTGTTATCTAAATATATTCCTTTTCCAAACGGGGATTGCTCTTTTGAATTAAACATAGGAAGTTTGCAAAAAACCCTCTTCTATAAGCTGGTATAGATTAATAAGAGGAGATATATCTGGAAAACAAAATATATAAATGTGTTTTCATTTACCATCTGCGAGCTCTAAATAGAAAACTAACTTTGAAATTCACATGCCACTAATATTATCCCACCGTCTAAATGTGGTTAGACAAGACATGCTTAATATTAAAGGTTGGAGCAACATTTACTTTGACTATATCTGCTCTCTATACTGAAAAGTTTGTGTACGCTTTATACATGACTACATGGTTTGAGAAACTCGACAAAACAATCATCTATATGTTCTAGTATCTACTAGCTCCTTAACCTAAGTTATGTTAAATAAATTTATTTTTAATTGGACTACAACGCAATTCTCTCTAATGGAAAAACTTTAAAGTGTATGTAACGGACTAAGCTACTTCAATTCCCAGGATGTTTAAAAGACTTTGACTGTAATCTTAATAGTTAATGTAAGATAAAACACTGTCATTTAATGTAAGTTCTATAGAGTATATAGGTTTCATTACACATTTTTTTTTAAATTACTCTCAAAACTATTTTAGTTTAAGACGGAAGCATCTTAAGAATTCACGCATCCCGAAATCACTTTTCGCACCTTTTCATAATATATTGGAATCTCTTTGTTGTTGGAATCAAGGATGGTGAACAATTTTTGTAATTTTACTAATCAAAAATAATTAAGAAAATCATAGTCTACACTGAATTACAATTCCATTCCTGAATTATGAAAAATCTGAGTTTCAAACACAGTGCTTCCTCGTGATAGCTTATGACAGAGCTATTAACAATAACTGTAATTAAATTATACATAGTGGAATATTATTGGCGTATACTTATTTATCAGTAAACACCGAGATTTTGAAGACATTTCCAGATATTCGATTTTTGATACACTAAATTAATGTTAATTAATATCAGTTTTTTGACTATTTATTGTTAACTAAATGAAAAATTTGTTTTTGTGATTCCCATTGGAAGATGGATTTATTTTCATTAATAATATTTTTATCTTTATTGTGAATGTGTTGTTGTGAATGTTTTTTATTATTATCCAGCTATAAAAATTGTTTCTCTTCTTTAAACATTAATATTAACACTTCTATAAAAAACTATTTGATCCATTTAACAAACTGCTCGTAGCAAATTGGTGTAATAAAAATTCTTCAGAATTCATTCAATAAATACAAGACTATGAAACTGAGCTTATAAACGCAGTTCATATTAATATATACATGTATGTTTCTTAATCAGTACATGTATAACCGAGAATTTTATTCATCTGCCCATGTAATAATATATATTTTTTATACTCTCATTCGTTGATTTTAATATTCTTTGACTATTTATTTTTCATTTTAAAGTTATCCTTTTTGTGTTAAAATCAAAGTAAACACTCTCCAAGTACTCTGTTGTAGTCAGCATCTAGTTTAGTGGTTTTCGAGTAATATCTATCAGTTTTATTTTATTTTTTTATGTTAAAGGTGGCAAACGAGCAGACGGCCCACTTGATGGAAGGTGGTTATACGTATCAGCTGCCGCATTTTCGGGGAGTTCTACGTATTTATGTATCAGAGGACTTGATTTGATTGATTGTCCCGATCCTGAACTTATATTCTTAGCTATATTGGGTGTCTGCATCACCACTGAAAATGAGTATGTGTCAAAAAAATGCGATTATAAATAAGAGTGGAAGTGCCTCGTAATTGTTATCATTTTGTGGGATTTGTATTGTGTTAATTTAGCGTGAAAATTTTATTTTGAAATTATTTGCATACAAAGTAATTTAACTTATTATTTTAATGACTTTTTCATAAAATAGTCAAAATTAAATAATTGTCTTACATTTTGTGGAGGTTCTCTAAAAGCTGTTGTATCTTACTGTTATATATGACAAAATTCTCTATGAATTCAAGGAATTATTGTTATTAATATTCCATAATATTAAGTCTATAGTTGACTGCTTGTGTCAAGTCTTATGTAAATAATTAGCTCTTGAAATTTATTCGGAAGAAATACATAATGTACAAATTAAATAAATAATAAAAAAATATCATGAAACTATTATTTATTTTAACCCACATTTCGTTATGTAATAATATTTCTTTGCTCCTTGAAGAGACGAGGAAATAAACAGTATTTATAAAATACTATATATAAAATTTATTGTTCATAAAATAAAATATTTATTCACCAGACGATTAAAGAAAATGTAGGTTATTGGTGTAATAATTTATAGGGAGCCATAGTACTCGGAGGTTGCGGTAACCAAGATCAATTAATCACAAGTCAGTGATTGATTATTGAGAGAAGCGCATGTAAGCGTTTCCACTCCCCAATAAATAATACATATAACGGCCCTTAATCCATTATCCATTAAAAATATCACATTATATGAGATTTTCTTAACTTATATATGGAATATTTTTTGAATGATTATGTATTGTGAACAATATGTTGAAATCAAATGATAATTTCGGTGCTGTAAAATCTTTGATGTCAACCTGTTTGAGTAAGCAGAGTTCAATAAAAGTACAATAAGTGCTTGAATGACCGTATGGAAATCTGTAGTCCTCATGTTAATAAATCTCACAACTAGATTATGTTTTATAAAACTATGGTTTTGAATTCACTGCGAGATTTATTATATTATTTAAGACATAATACATTGGAGATAAAAGTATTGAACAATGAACATGTTTGAAACTATGTTTTTTGGATATCACTTCCAGATTAAGAGTTTTTCCTTGCCATTTATTTCATAACTTTTCTATTATTATAACATACGAGTACAATAAAATGTATATTTTGAAATTTACTTGTTTATTTTCTTTCAGATCTTTGTCTTCCACATGTATTGCATATTTTTCGTCTATCACCAAACTTAATAACCTATTAAAAATTATAATCGATAGATTGATAAGTTCCTACATAATTGATTTTATTTTATTCATTTTGATATGATCGGAGTAGTTACAGATATATACATTTTAAATTTGAATCGTTCATTTATTCGTGTTTTATTACAATTAAAGTACTCTGAAATAATGAATTAGATATCTGTTTTGGGCCGTTTTACCACGCTTATCTTCTTATGGCCAATACGTTACATATTGTGTTAGAGAAGACGGCTATAAATTATAAAAAAGGTGGAAGATGTTACAAAAAAGATTATATAGAGTTTATAACTATATAAATATATAACCAAATTATTATTAACAAAGTAGAAATATCGATTAAATACTAAGAAAATATTTTAAGTTTACATATATTAATTATATATGTGTTGTTTTTAATTTTAAATTATTATTTTGTTACGTAAATTGTATCGCATTCAGAGAAAAATCTAAGATCTTAATATCTGAAAGTTTTCGTTTATTAAAAACTTACTATGTAAAGTAAATGTTTCATGGAACTAAAGTAAGAACAACGGCTGGCTCTCAGTGTGTAACACTTTATGAGGTAACAAATTAAGTAACAACGACATTTAGGAACGACTAATTGAAAAGACGCTAGATTATTTAGGGGTCTTTTTCAAACAATTCTCACAATAAAACCATACCTTATTCAATTAGTACATGATTGGATTCATCCAGGATAATACGAAAGATTATAGAGGTGAATTTATTGTTACAGAAGTTCTTTGGTGATAGACGCACTAAAATTTCTACATTTCATATCTCTTAATTTTCTAAACTGATTGATGTCAATGAAATAACTGTAATTTAAAGGATAATATATTTGTAAATATAATACTAATATAACAACACACTGGAGACTGTTGTTTCATATTTAATTAATATTAAAAATAATAAGTTTTATAAGGATTGTATAGAGTGATATGTGTTGAGATTAAGGACTTACTAACTTTTTATTGTAAATAAAAAATAATATGATTTACTTTTATTACGAAGTAGACAGATTGCAGTCAAATGAAACAATAGAAAGAGAATATTGTGTTATAAAAGAAACTTGAAATATTTACAAAATAAGGACATATTTAAGAATATGTAATTATTCTGCTGATTTGGTTTATTTCACAACGATTCAGTCAAATGAATTAATGAAACGTTGCGATAAAATGATTTAGCTTTGAGACAATTTAGATAAATGAAAACAAGATTGCAAAATTAAATAAAGAAGTCAGATATTTCTGAGCGTCTCTTCTATTTTAATTGAAAATATAAATTAAATAAGAGTGATTACCCGCGTAATATAAGTCATTCATTGTATTACAATAATTATATATCATTATTGCCTATTATTATCCTATCAGTATATATTAATCTCACCAAAAACATGCCTGTTAAAAAGGGGGCCAAGTTCCAATCGGCTAATTGTTTGCCTAAAAAAGGGGTGAAATCCAATCTAATGCCAAGTTTAGATGCACTTTGAAATCGATCATAATCATCTTCATCAACAGCATGATCCACTGGTAAACATTTGCCATTCCCAAGACTCGCCACCACACCCAGTCCTCTGCCTTCCACATCCAGCCACTACCCGCCACCTTATTCACGTCAACGGTCCATCTGGCCGAAATTCACTTTACCATACACCCAACTTAAAATATGGTATAGTTGTGAAAATACGTAGGTGCTTGGTTAAAAATATCTAAAATTATAATACTTCTAAATTTGAACTTGGCAGGTTTTTGTGCTGTACGTAACACTTAATTAATTGTATCATTAATCTATTATTTAGTTATATAATTATTTATATTTATATAATTTAAATATTATATAATTTAAATAATTAAATAATGAGTGCGCAGGTTACAAGTAAACGAAGACTGACTTAATGCTATTTATTATATATAGATTACACATATGGATGTTGCACGTTCAATGCTTCGTTACGCACTGATGATCTTGACCGAGTCCCGCGTTCTCGCGTCGTAGCTAATAGTTTATATGAGGCGTTTACATTCTTGGTAATTGGCTCCAACATCCTCCCCCCCCTCGAAATCCTTCGATGTTCGAGTGACGTCCCTTGAATTTTCTAAAGAACAGAGGTTGTGTACAGCTCTACGGACGACTCCCTTGGAGGTGAAGACATCGGCGACTCTAGCAATTCCATCGGATCCTGGATAAAGTTTTTGGATTCGTGCCATTCGCCACTTAAGAGGTGGTAGGTTCGCTTCCTTTATGATGACCAGATCGCCTTCCTGGAATCCTTTTCGCTCGACTCTCCACTTAGACTTCTGTTGCAATTCGCAGAGATATTCGTGCTGCCAGCGATCCCAAAAATGTTGTCGCATCCTTTCCAGAAGTTGGTATCGGTTAAGTCGATGTGGATTGAAGTTCATCAAGGTTTCGGATGGCAGCGCTGTTAATGGTTTACCGATCAGAAAGTGCGCAGGAGTCAAGGGATCTAGGTCAGTGGGATCCGATGAAAGAGGAGTTAAGGGCCTGGAATTAAGGATTGCTTCAACTTGCGAGAATAAAGTCGATAGTTCTTTAAATGTGAAATGTTTATCGCCTAATATACGTATTATGTGGTGTTTTGCAGCCTTAATGCCTGCTTCCCAAAGAACCCCAAAGTGAGGGGAGAAGGGGGGAGAAAAGTTAAATTTTATGCCTTGCTCAGCGGCAAAACCTATAATATCTTCATTGTTTTTTGAGAGGTTAGTTAGAAAGTTATTTGCTCCAACAAAATTGGTACCATTATCGCAATATATTTCTAATGGTTTACCGCGACGAGCTACAAAGCGTCGCAGACACAAAATGAAACAATCAGCCGTCAAATCACTAGCTACCTCAAGGTGCACGGCCTTTGTACTAAAGCAGATAAACAAACACATATAGCACTTCGTAATCCGGCAACCGCGACCTTTGCGGTCAGTGATGTGAACTGGGCCACCGAAGTCGACTCCACTAATGTGGAATGGCCGACCTGGAATTACTCTATTTGACGGCAAGTTTCTGCCTCTTAAAGGCTAAAAATTATTTCTGATGTCATTTAATAAAAGTCCCCAACTTTGTAAAAGTTTTAAATGAAAATATAAAGGTTTTAAATGAAAATGATCGGACGTAAACGGCAGACGCATATGATAGCTGAGAGGCATCAGAAAGCCTGAAGCTCAATTCGAATTGCTTGCGGTAAAAGAACGCACCTAGGTATTTGAAAATTGGATATTGAAGCTAAGTTCGACGCAAAGTCTGTCCATTGTTTGAATATAGATTTATCCACTGGATCATCCCAAGTACATTTTCGATAGCCACAGCCTCTGTAAAATTATTTTAGGGATGATGGTGCATAGGCTGAGTAATCCCAGTGGATCAAAAAGCTTTGCTGAGTTGGACAAGACTGTCCGTTTTGTGGCAACTTGATCAAGTTGCAACTTAGCTGAAAATTGCGATACGTCTCTCGATGGATCCCAATTCAGACCCAAAACTGTCGAGTGAGACATATGGTCATATTGATGATGACATATTTTAATTTTATATGTGGGTTCATCGCGCCACAGAATTAATTGTAAATGTTTTTGCTTTGGAACAACTAGTATTTGACGATTCATCTTTTCGACGTCTGCTGACACGACATATCGATGCTGCCGATATCGTAAAAGAATTGAAAGTAAATCAGAAACCTGTACTACAGGTCTGATATATTGTACATCATTGAACGAGACACCAGAAGATGTCTTTGAAGAGGCATCGAATACGACACGAAGCTTAGTAGTCTCGCTAGACTCTCGAATGACAGCGTGATGGGGCAAGTAGCATCCAAATGCTGGTCGAGGAACTTCGGTCATATGACCTAACTGTTCATATTCGTGAATGAATTCAGGATATTTTTGTTTAAGAGCTGGTTTATTCTTAAATTTCCTTTCTAATTGCAACAAGCGTTTTTCGGCTATATTGTAAGAATCACCCAAGCACTGAGTAGATTCTTTAAGAGGAATTTGACCACAAAATCTACCGTGAGCATCTCGATGAGTAGTATTTTTAAATAAGTTTTCGCAATAATCATCGGTACGAGATTCGACATTAGAAGGCACCTCTTCGAGTTCCCAGAATTTACGAAGCTGCTGGTTTATATCCAATGAAAAATGACAAAATGATTTACGATTTTTATTGTTACTATGAATAGCAGTTGGACCCGCTACTATCCATCCCAGCTTCGTTTCCTGCAAGATTGGGCCTTGAGGTCCTAAATTTATCCTGCTTGATTCCAACAAGTCCCAAAATACATCAGCACCCAATAAAAGATCAATATCGGAAGGTTCAAAGAACTTTGGATCGGCAAGTTGGACATGACACGGAATGTCCAAATGTTGTACGTTTACTGCAACATTGGGTAATCTATCAGTGATGTGAGGTAACACAAAACATTTAACACGCATAACTAACGGACTGTTTAACGACCCTATATCTAAATAGCAATGTTTTGTGACATTGAAGACACTACTTCCTATACCTGATACGCTATGGTAATCAGAATCAAAATGTTGCGAACCTGTTTCCCTTAGAGCCCTGACAGTCACAAAAGAAGACTGACTGCCACAATCTAGTGAAGCTCTTAATATGCATGTTTTACCGTTACTCGTCACCTTGACTAAAGCAGTAGAGAGAAGTGATTGATTGGTAGAAATGGCAGTCATGGAAACCGAAGCAGAGCTACTCGGCACTTCGGAATCGGTAGCGACCGTGGCGGCAGGTGATAGCGTAGGTAAGTTTTTACTATTATTATCACTTTGTTCTTGAATTTTAAATGATTGCTGTATAGAATTTTGTTTATGTATTAAAGTGTTATGTTTTTTGTGACAAATTCTACAACCACCCATCCTGCACTGATAGGCTTGATGCCCCTGGCGAAGACAATTGGAGCATACATTTAGTAATTTAAGTTTATTAATTCGATTAGAGACTGGTAGTGACTTAAATGTGTTACACTCGTATAATTTATGATTCTGTTTACAGAGAAGGCACTGCGCGGAGGGTGATGGTGATTCCATAGAAGAACTAAGGAATGATTTTGTGTTGGAGAAACTAAGGCGTTTATCAACTTTACTGGGTTTATTAACATTCATTGTTTCTAATACCATAGAACGCTTTCGAAGAAAATCATAAAAATCGTCCAGTGTGGGCGCGTCTTTATTGCTTCTATATTCCTCCCACTTCCGAGAAGTAACACTGTCTAATTTGGCAGAAGCTAAAAAAAATAATTAACGTATCCCATTTGTCCGTCGGTTCACCTAAAATATGTAAGGCGTTTAGGTTTTTCGATAATGTATCGATAAGGTTACGTAAACCACTGTGGGATTCCTTAGTTAAAGATTCGATGGAAAACAAGCACTTTATGTGTTCATTTATCAAAAGACGTTTGTTATCATATCTTTCGCATAACAATTTCCATGCGAGGCTATAGTTGTCGGATGAGACACTGACTGAGTTTATGACAGCGCTAGCCGGCCCTTCCAAGTACGTCTTGAGGTAGTGAAACCTGTTAACGTCGTCAATCGTTTCATTGTTATGTACTAACGACACATAAGTATCCCTGAATGACAACCATTTGTTCGCCTCACCATTAAAGGGCGTGATTTTAATTGGGGGCAATTTTAAATGACAGTCCGGACGACTTTTGTTAGATGAAGATTCTATTTTATTTTTATTTTCGAAAAAATCGATTAATGACTGAGCTTCGGCTGATAAACGGAAAAATATATTTTCATTAAATTCGCGTTCTTGCATTTGTTTTGACGTATCTTCATCCAACATTTCAATCTGCGATTGAATATCATCAAAAGTGCATGATAAATCACGTATCTTGCTTAAGCGCAAGCGCAATTCATTCACCTGTACTAAACTAATTTCTTTACACTCTAACAAAGGTTTTAAATATTTTTCAAACAACGTTACACGAGCCTTAATATGTCCCCTTTGTTTGATAAGTTCCTTTACGTCACTCATAATGACGGTGCAATATTTAAAATATTATAACGCTTCACGTATATATAACGAATCAGATGTTAATAACTACGATGTTAAGAATTAAATAAACCGCGAAACACCATATAACACAAGCTATTTGTACAAACAACAATTTTAAGAATAATTTTATTAACAAAGAATTTTATATTATGTACCGATATCATAAAAAAGTTGACGGTGGGCGAAAAATAAATTTATCATATAAATTTATCATATAAATTTTACTCACGTGAGTTGAAGCAAAAAAGGATATATAAGTAGAAAGGATGGATGCACTTCCCTCGGAAACAGTGGCTGCAGCTGGCTGCTGGCGAATTCTCGAAGGATAGCTCCGCCCGTGATATTTTCGTGATGACGTAACAACAGTTTGGCTGCGAGTCCGTTCCAATTCGAAGTTGATCACGTCGGGGTCACCAAAATGAGTGCGCAGGTTACAAGTAAACGAAGACTGACTTAATGCTATTTATTATATATAGATTACACATATGGATGTTGCACGTTCAATGCTTCGTTACGCACTGATGATCTTGACCGAGTCCCGCGTTCTCGCGTCGTAGCTAATAGTTTATATGAGGCGTTTACATTCTTGGTAATTGGCTCCAACAAATAATATTAATTTAAAAATAAATTAACAAACAATAAATGGTATTTTTGTGAAAAAAAAGCGTGATGAGCTTCATATATCACTTCTTGAGAAGCGCCCCACGCTTTTTTTTCAATAATACCATTTATTGTTTATTTTAAACAATTTAAATTAAATTGATTTCCAAGGTTGTAAAGGTTAAATTATGTAGTTTCCAAGCGGTTTCTTTCATCATTGGAGCGTGTTTTTTAGTTTTTTTTAAACTATATTTATTTTTTATTTTTTAGTTTCATTTATCACCGATTGATAGATGTACTCATATTATTAATTATTAATATTTCATTATTATGTCTTTTATTGTGCTGAGCTGAGCGCCTATATAAAGGTTTTGATTACCTGTCAGTGAGTCAGTGCCAAAATTAGCTATTTTCACAGGGTCATATTTCAGGATCTACTGAAGCTTTATCTATGAAATTTGGCATACTGCTTTAGGACTAGTATATAATTACGTAGGTACAATTTTATCTCTGTACTTGCAATAGACACTGAGCTACAGGGGTCAAAAGTGGGTCGAATTTATTAACAATTCGATATTTAGAATTGAGGCAACTCACGCTTGACCGATTTCTTAAATTTCTTAATTTTTTGTTAATCTACATATAACACACAACCTGTGTACCAAATTTCATAATGCTAAAACAATGGGAAGTGGCCTAGAGGTTTTGATTACCTGTCAGTGAGTCAGTGCCAAAATTAGCTATTTTCACAGGGTCATATTTCAGGATCTACTGAAGCTTTATCTATGAAATTTGGCATACTGCTTTAGTTCTAGTATATGATTACGTAGGTAAAATTTTATCTCTGTACTTGCAATAGGCACTGAGCTACAGGGGGGTCAAAAGTGGGTCGAAACGGTTCGTGTAAATATAGTGCACGGCATGCGCCGGCCTGTGGAACTTGGCCGGCGCACTACCGTGCGCTTAGAAATATAGTGCACGGCATGCGCCGGCCTGTGGAACTTGGCCGGCGCACTACCGTGCGCTTAGATTCTGAGGACAAGAAAAGATTTAATGAAGTTTGAAGTATTTAATACAACTGAAATATAACTTAAAGAAAGAAAAAAGTTATTGAAGTTTGTAAAGAGAGTGATTTGTATTAAGATGTTTTCCGTCACCATCTGTCAGTGGTGTCCAAATACTATTAGAAAGTTCATATGACTCTGAAAAATCATATTGGTACTTGCTAGGTTTCGAATTCTCGTACTCGTGCAATAAAGAAGGGCCTTTAACCTCTAGGCCACCAGGATGCCACGACGATGTTTTTTGTATAAATATTAATGTCGAAATTAGTGAACATAAATAATAAAAATAATGCTGATGGAAATAATATTAAGTATATGATTATTATACTTAAAATTTATGTGATCTATAACTATTGTTTATAATTTTATTACATATTAATGGTCTTTGTATTTTTTTTTATCCATACCAAATTCAATTGAGTTTAAAATTATTTAAGTAACAAAAAGTTTAATTAAATCTGACATGTAAATGAAAACCGTGAGTAAACCTTCACTTAATGCTAATTGAACAGATATGATAGGTTTAAATTTACTTTATTTACAAATAAAACATTTTAAATACAATCTCAAATTACACTTCTACAAATATTAAATACTAGTTTTTGCCCGCGACTTCGTCCGCGTTAATTTCGTCATTAGTAATATAGGTATAGCTGACCGGGCGAACTCTATTCCGTCTTCAATAACCGGGTATTGGTATTTATTAAATTTCTACTGTTTCAATCGAACAGAATGATTGACATATTAGTTAGTTGTCAAGTCTAATGTCAAAAAATCGTTTGTATGGGAAATAGAAAAAGGGCTGTTTTTAATGTTTTCCCAGCAATTTTTCTAATTTTTATCATCTTTTAAACCTTCCCTGGACTTCCAGGAGTATTTCAAGACTAAAATTAGCCAAATCGGTTTAGTCGTTCTCGAGTTTTAGCGAGACTAAGGAACAGCAATCCATTTTTATATATATAGAAGATTAATACATATAATCACAGAGTAATTTTAAAATGTATATAAATCGATTAATATATTCTATCAAATCATATACCAGCTGATAAATACCTGATTCAAGAATAGACAAAACTCTAAACTAACGCCCTGGCTATGTTCTTGGGTACTGTTTGTTGGAAATTAAAAGTCTTCTCAGATTGTTCTTCCACGTCCAATAAATAATTAGCTTCCTATAATAATTATAAAACATACACTTACTCAAGCCATCACCAAACCAATAAGATTATTTTAACTAATAACTCAGAGCTTAATGATCCAAAGTTGGTGTCGTGTGACATTTATAGAATCTAATTCAACTCTTGTCATACACGCTCTCACCGCCAAGGTACAAAACTTGTAACAACCGCAAAATATTAATTAACATCAAAATGTTTTGAAATAACATCTTTCCATAACTTTCACACTAAAGAAAAATACAGTGAAATTATATTTTATACGAGGTACTACATTATTTAAAATTGTTTGTATAAATTATGTAAAAAGTACAACGACTTTCAACATTTGACTATATTTAAACAAGATTTTTAGTGTTAAAAACAATATTATCACAAAGTTATATTCATTATGATCATATATTATGAGATGGCAATGACAAAAGGTTTCAATTAAGTTATGTGCCACGTATTATTACGGCATATATGTCTTGATTTGTGACAAAAATATTGATAAAAAAAATTCAAGGAATATTCGTGAGCCGTCACAAATAATTGTCCACTGTTAATAATAATAATTGACTTCACGACCAGAACAATATTCGTGTAATATAATCTTATCTCAGTCAGCAGATGCTGCATATAATCTTGTACAGCAGATTAAATGATACAATAAACAAAGCAGTTCACGGGATATTCAATATGTTGGTGAGAACAATACTTGATAGTGTTAGGAAGTAATTAATACAGTTCGGGATTATCGTCTCAGCTACAAGTTTAGTTCACCTCACTAACCATAGTGTTACTAATTTTGTAGCTCGAATATATCCATCATATGATGTCTTCAATATTAAGATAGTGCTTAACAGTTTAGAACAACGACCACTAAAATCCTGCAATACGATTAAATTTAAATTCTATAACAAAAAACACGTTAGTAAGAGATTTACCTTGACGAAACCGTATAATGTATGAATTTATAATAATGTAAATTGTTTCTTATATATTTAATCGGTTCATTATGCAAAAAATCTTACTGATTCTTCTAAGTAAAGGTAAACATTCATAACGTTCTTTAAGATAACTTTTAGAATACAGTTCACAATATTAACTGGGTCTCAATATATTTAATATATTTAGTTCTAGCCAGCTCTTTGAATATAATCAATAGGTAAAGTGAGTCCTCTTTTACATCGAAGTCGTTTCAATAGAGATTCGAAAGGAACTCGGTAATTATCGGTGAGAGCTCTGCGCTTTGTTGGTCTCAAGAGGAAAGGCTTTCTATCTGAAAGTCCTTCAACGCTTTTTAGAGAAAGATTATTATGAAAAAGATATGTCAATGCATTTTCTGAAGATATTGTTTTTATATACAATTATCTATTATCATACTTAAAAAAATTATAAATGTGACTTCACAAAGTAGAAATTTTAGAATTACCTATCATCAGCGGGTCACTCAAAAGAGTTATGTAGTTCTCTTAATAGAATTGATTTCTTCTTCATAAAATAATTGCTTCAATAATATAATGAGGAATCTTTAAATAAACTAACTTTATAGAATGAATGTGATATCTACAAATCTTTTCATTTCAGACAAACAGATGCCTTCGAACATAATGAATATTACTTAATTATTTTAACAATTCTCGTTTCAATTTATTTCCAATCAGATTTAATAATTTTCATGAAAACTCAAATTTTATCAGAATATACAACAGATATATGATTCCTGAACATCTTATTGTACTCATATTGAACAAAAATTAAGCGCTTTTTTATGACTTTCATCTCGTTTGTCGTGATCACGTTTGCTGCAAAAGAACCGAAACGTCGGGATTATGTAGTTGTAAAGTAATAAAAAGGCGTAGTTATATCCCAAAAACAACTTTTATTAAAGCGTAAAATTTTTGTTACTTATAAGATATTATTGAATAAAGGGGAACAATAAAAAAAGTCAGTGGCCTAGTGGTTAAAGGGACCGCTCTCGTTGCCGAGGGCGCGGGTTCGATCCTGGCAAGTACCAATGTGATTTTTCCGAGTCATATGTACTTTCTAAGAGTGTTTAGACACCACTGACATGCGGTGAAGGGAAGCATCGTGAGGAAACCTGGACTTATAAGTTTGAAATCACCAACCCGTCTTGAGCAAGCGTGGTGATTAA